AATCCGTACAAATTAATTTTTTTATTCAAAGGTGAATATTTGAAAATTAATGATCAATATTAAGCTTACATTTACATAATAAAAGCTGTATTTGAACTCGACAATAAGGATAGTGAATAGTTTTTTGTATTATTATGGGAGCTAATTAGTTTACAGTAATTTATAATTTTGTCGTTCATTAAGAAATTTTAGCACGTTTATCCCAACAACGTAAATAATTAAGACGGAAGAAACTCATCGTGTCTTGTTTATGTTGGGGGGTGCTCGAGTCGATTCCTCTGTTTTTCTGACTGTATCGTTTTACCAAGCATTCTTGTTGCTGCTCATTTTGTTCGAAATCAGACGAAAAGTAAATTTGATGTCAAGAAATTTACGTAGGGTGCAATTTTACGTTCTGGTCTGATATTCATCAAGGAATTCAAGGTTAGTTCTAATTTTCATTAACAATTTGATAATATTTTGTATATACCAATGATTTTTAAGAGTTGGAAATTAACAAAATAAAGCACAAATCGATTGCAGTAGCCGACACTGTTGTTCAAATGTGGCTTTTTCGCCTGATCGGGAAACGAAAATGTTCGAGCCCCGTATATTTACGTTGTGATGAGTTGTTAATGAATCCGTTTCTATTGTATTGTTAACTAGGCTTGGTACCACAATAAGGATAGTGAATAGTTTTATAATTATTAATTATGGGAGCTTATTAGGTTACAGTATTTGATAATTTTTCGTTAATTAAGAAATTTTAGCATGTTTATCCCCAAGCGTAAATAATTTATACGGACACGAAACCCATCGTGTCTTGTTTATGTGGGGGGATGCTCGAGTCGATTCCTATATTTTTCTGATTTTACCATTCTACCAAGCATTTTTCGCGCCGCTGCTCATTTTGTTCGAAATCAGACGAAAAGCAAATTTGGTGTCCAGAATTTTACGTAGGGTGCAATTTTACGTTGTGGTCTGATATTCTTTAAGTAATTAAAAATTAGTTCTAATTTTCATTAATAATTTGATCGTATTTTGTATATACCGATGATTTTTAAGAGTTGGAAATTAACAAAATAAAACACGAATCGATTGTTGTAGCCGAGACTGTTGAAAATGTGGCTTTCTTGCCTGATCGGGAAACGAAAATTTTCGAGTTCCGTATTTACGTTGTGATGAGTTGTTAATGAATCCGTTTCTATTGTATTGTTAACTAGGCTTGGTACCACATTAAGGATAGTGAATAGTTTTTATAATTATGGGAGCTGTTTATCCCAGGGACGTATCCAGGGGGGGGGGGGAGCCGTGGGAGCCGCGGCTCCCCCCTTTGTACACAGTGTTAAAATTTTAAAGCTTATTCTTGAGCCAATACAAATTCTTTCCTGGGATCACTCAAAATCTGTCTCTTATACACATCTAGATGTGTATAAGAGAACAACAGATCTGTGCCCTTCCCTGGGTATGACATTTAATTCCATCTAGTCGGCTCCTGATGTATGTCTTAGTGACTGCTGTTTGTTTTTTAGGATGTGATCTGGTTTTTCATGTACATTTTTCGTGATTATGACTATTCTGGATAAAGAATGTTTTGAAACTCATCTGCCCCCCTCGAGTACCCCCGGTACTCGAGTCGATTCCCCTATTTTTCTGATTTTATCATTTCACCAAGCATTCTTCGTGCCGCTGCTCATTTTGTTCCGAAATCAGACGAAAAGTAAATTTGATGTCCAGAATTTTACGTAGGGTGCAATTTTACGTTGTGGTCTGATATTCATCAAGGAATTCAAGGTTTCATTAACAATTTGATCATATTTTGTATATATCGATGGTTTTGATGAGTTGATGGGAAATTAACAAAATAAAGCACGAATCGATTGCAGTAGCCGAGACTGTTAAAAATGTGGCTTTGTTACCTGATCGGGAAACCTAAATTCTCGAGTTCCGTATTTACGTTGCGATGAGTTGTTAATGAATCCGTTTCTATTGTATTGTTAACTAGGCTTGGTACCACATTAAGGATAGTGAATAGTTTTTATAATTATTGGATCTGATTAGTTTACAGCATTTGATAATCTTTTCGTTAATTAAGACATTTTAGCATGTTTATCCCCACAACGTAAATAATTAATACGGACACGAAACTCATCGTGTCTTGTTTATATTAGATGTGCTCGAGTCGATTCCTCTATTTTTCTAATTTTATCATTTTACCAAGCATTCTTCGCGCCGCTGCTCATTTTGTTCGAACTCAGACGAAAAGCAAATTTAGTGTCCAGAATTTTACGTAGGGTGCAATTTTACGTTGTGGTCTGATATTCTTTAAGTAATTCAAGGTTAGTTCTAATTTTCATTAATAATTTGATCGTATTTTGTATATACCGATAATTTTTAAGAGTTGGAAATTAACAAAATAAAGCACGAATCGATTGTTGTAGCCGAGACTGTTCAAAATGTGGCTTTGTTGTCTGATCGGGAAACCGAAATTCTCAATTTACGTTGTGATGAGTTGTTAATGAATCCGTTTCTATTGTATTGTTAACTAGGCTTGGTACCACATTAAGGATAGTGAATAGTTTTTATAATTATGGGAGCTGATTAGTTTACAGTAATTGATAATGTTGTCGTTAATTAAGAAATTTTAGAACGTTTATCCCAACAACGTAAATAATTAATACGGACACGAAACTCATCGTGTCTTGTTTATGTTGGGGGTGCTCGAGTCGATTCCTCTATTTTTCTAATTTTATCATTTTACCAAGCATTCTTCGCGCCGCTGCTAATTTTGTTCCGAAATCAGACGAAAAGTAAATTATGTGTCCAGAATTTTACGTGGGGTGCAATTTTACGTTGTGGTCTGATATTCTTTAAGTAATTCAAGGTTAGTTCTAATTTTCATTAATAATTTGATCGTATTTTGTATATACGGATAATTTTTAAGAGTTGGAAATTAACAAAATAAAGCACGCATCGATTGCAGTGCCGACAGTGTTGAAAATGTGATTTTGTTGCCTGATCGGGAAACGAAAATTTTCGAGTTCCGTATTTACATTGTGATGAGTTGTTAATGAATCCGTTTCTATTGTATTGTTAACTAGGCTTGGTACCACATTAAGAATAGTGAATAGTTTTTATAATTGTGGGAGCTGATTAGTTTACAGTAATTGATAATGTTGTCGATAATTAAGAAATTTTAGAACGTTTATCCCAACAACGTAAATAATTAAGACGGACACGAAACTCATCGTGTCTTGTTTATGTTGGGGGTGCTCGAGTCGATTCCTCTATTTTTCTAATTTTATCATTTTACCAAGCATTCTTCGCGCCGCTGCTAATTTTGTTCCGAAATCAGACGAAAAGTAAATTATGTGTCCAGAATTTTACGTAGAGTGCAATTTTACGTTGTGGTCTGATATTCTTTAAGTAATTCAAGGAGGTTAGTTCAAATTTTCATTAACAATTTAATCACATTTTGTACCGTATATATCGATGTTTTTTAAGAGTTGGAAATTAACAATATAAAGTACAAATCGATTGCAGTTCCCGAGACTGTTCAAAATGTGATTTTGTTGCCTGATCGGGAAACGAAAATGTTCGAGTTCCGTATTTACGTTGTGATGAATTGTTAATGATTCCGTTTCTATTGTATTGTTAATTAGACTTGGCACCACATTAAGGATAGTGAATAATTTTTATAATTATGGGAGCTGATTAGTTCACAGTAATTGATAATTTTGTCGTTAATTAAGTAATTTTAGCACGTCTATCTCAAGAGCGTAAATAATTAATACGGACACGAAACTCATCGTGTCTTCCTTATGTGTGTGTGTGGGGGGGGGGGTGCTCGAGTCGATTCCTCTTATTTTTCTGATTTTATAAATTTTTACCAAGTATTCTTCACGCCGCTGCTCATTTTGTTCCGAAATCAGACGAAAAGTAAATTTGATGTCCAGAATTTTACGTAGGGTGCAATTTTACGTTGTGGTCTGATATAGGCCTACATCAAGGAATTCAAGGTTAGGCCTATTTCTAATTTTCATTAACAATTTGATCGTATTTTGTATATATCGATGTTTTTGAAGAGTTGGAAATTAACGAAATAAAGCACGAATCGATTGCAGTAGCCGAGACTGTTGAAAATGTGGCTTTGTTTTTCTGATCGGGAAACGAACATTCTCGAGTCCCGTATTTACGTTGTGATGAGATGTTAATGAATCCGTTTCTTGTTAACTAGGTTTGGTATCACGTTAAGGATAGTGAATAGTTTTTATAATTATGGGAGCTGATTAGTTTACAGTATTTGATAATTTTGTCGTTAATTAAGAAATTTTAGGAAGTCGGGAAAGCTCATTTCCTGCAATCTAGGAATAAACATTTTCACGGGGGTCGGATCATCTTTTTTGTGTGGGGGGGGGGGGGGGGGGGGGGGGGGGGGGTGGTGCTCGAGTTGATTCCTATATTTTTCTGATTTTATCATTTTACCAAGTATTTTTCGCGCCGCTGTTCACTTTGTTCGAAATCAGACAAAAAATAAATTTGGTGTCCAGAATTTTACTAATAGATCGTTGTTGACGGTAATTAGGCCTAGGCCTATATCTATATCGTTGTTGACGGTAATTAGTATTTCTGTATACAGACAGGCCTAGGCCTACTAAATACCATCAACAACGCTTGTTGACGGTAGGCCTAATTAGTATGCATGTACATTAATACTAATTACCGTCAACAACTTGTTGACGGTAATTCATACTAATTACCGTCAACAACTTGTTGACGGTAATTCGTATGATAGGCCTACACCGTTTACTAATTACCGTCAACAAACAACCGTCAACGACGACGGTAATTAGTATGACCCCAATCATTAAATTAAAATAAGAAATAGGTATTTTTTTTAAAGAAAGAAATGTATTGGCTTAAATATGGAAAGGACGGATTTTTCACTGAAGTTTAGCTGAGGACGGAACACTGGGTACTTACGAAAAATGTGATTTTTATTTGTGGGGGCGCTATGGTTCAAAACAAAAACAATAAACAAAACCACCAGTGTAGGAGAAACCGTCGAGTAAGTCTGAAACATTTTACAATATATAACGCAATATATAACATAAGTTTCTGGATTTTGAAAGCTATAATACTCACTGTTCATTAAAGTAAATGTATAGTCTATAGATCTAGATGTAATGCAAGACCTATATAATTGTAGTAGACCTTTAGGCCCGTCCCTATATTGCTACCGCTGCTTGCTGCAGTGAGTAAGCGCGCTAGTGTCCTGGTAGTTGGGGTTTTAATGCCTGGCGCTTAGAGAAGGGCTTGTTGTGAAGGCATTATATTACTTTTTTATGATTCTTTTATTTCTATGGGGCCTGTTGTGTGAAAAAAACCCGAAAGATCAATTTTGAAAGAAAAAATTTTGTTTTACCATGCTTTCCTGGGGTATATGAAGGGGTGGAGACTGTGCAATCATCTGACACCCCCCATCCCCCATCCCCTTACACAATTAAGACCACCAAACCCAGCATCCACCCCAGCCTTCTGCTGCCATGAAATATCACTATAAGATTATCTTATTTCTTCATCATTATTTATGACCATGTGATTAGATCTCACACCATGGCATTAAGGGGCCCCTCGTATACACTCAAATTTTTTATTGACATCATCCAGGCAGGGGTCACAAGCCTCCTGGAACTCGCGGGAGTCTCCTAGAAATCTGAACGAACTTCTACACTCCTTTAAGCAAGAATCTCCCAGGAAATAACTAATCTCCCTCAAATTCATTGCATGTTTTCAATATTTTATCATCATATTTTGTCTTAGCATGGAAATCAGTGCCGATGGGTACCACACTATGCCAAAAAAAATAATTTTTTGTTTGCTCTCCTCACACCCGCCCCTAACTCACTGAAAAAAAATAGGGGCGGCAAAACAAAAACATTTATTTTTTGGTTTTTTTTAGCTTTTTTTTTTACAAATTAAAAAAAAAATATTAGTGAAACTATATTTATTTTTTGCCAGATACCCTACAATGTTGTCTAAAGTTGTTGTCTAGTCTACATTCATTTGCAAAATGTCAACTGTGGGTTATGTTTATTTCTATCTGATGAGTAATCGTGAAAAAAAAAAAAAATCTTTTTCCACCCGCCCCATTTTATCATTTAACAAAAAGAAGGCCAAAAAAATGCTTATTATTTTTTAGGCCCTATCTACAGATCAGTGGGTGATTCAAAGTGGGTGGGGGAGGGCAGGGGCAGGGCTGAACAAAGTGCGTGACTGGCAGTCAGAGGAAACATGAACTTCCCAGAAGCATTTTTGGGCAAAGAAATTAAAAAAAAAACAGATAACCTTTGTTGCTGGAGGCATGTTTTCAAGACACTTTCATGAGCAGAGGCACAAAAATTTGTATTCCATTTCCTGGCTGGAGGGGGAGGTGTGGGAGACAGGGAGGTGTGGGAGACAGCCGGTCCCTACATTTTGCAAATTATTAAACAAAATTGGAAATAAAGAAAATTATATTCTAAAATTTATGTCTAAGAGTGCCATAATCATATATGTTCCTCCTCAGCTCCATCCATGGTTGGGTTGAGGCCTACCTACATCTGTGAAAGTCCCGCTGCCCACACCCTCTTCGAATTCCTAAATCAGCCACTGTAAATTTCTGGTCTCAGTATATGGCAGGTAAGCCTCTTGTTATATTATTTGTTATATTATTTATCTCATTGTACGAAGTGATGTTTGCCCTACTTGGCGTGTTCTGTGTGCTGGGTCCTCAGTGCGTTCCCAGGTACTTGTGGGAAACATTCTGTAAATGACTCAGGTAGGAATTGAGCCCACGACCTTCAACTAACCAGTGAGTTTTTTTTCGCAGGTGTTTGGGACGTGCAGCGCATTGGGTTGGGGCAGGCATCACTTCGTATTAATTCACTTTGTATTAATTCTTCTGATGCAAAATGCATGGCGATTATCTTATTGTAATTATTGACTTATTGTTATTATGACACTCATTATTTTATGTGTATAAGAGACAGATATATATATATATATATATATATATTATTTTGTCATCAGTATTATTATTATTGCTGTTATTATTGTTGTTGTTATTGTTATTATTATTATATTCATTATATTATTATTATTTATTATTGGTGGTCATGTCTTAAAGTTTGTAAAAAGAAAAGTGTGCGGTAGGAGGTCAAAATAAGTTTGTAAAACAAACTTTTTTTGACCTGCTACCGCACACTTTTCTTTTTGTTTATAAAATGTAATTTCAATTGTAATATTTATCATTGATTAATTTATATTTTATGTGTGTTTGGTAAAAAACAATAACACAAACAAACAAACAATCTCCTGAAAATGGCTTCTACCAACCCAGTGGTGGATCCAGGAATTTGAAATAGAGGGGGTCCAAAGAGGGACTTTCACAGACATTTTCAAGCATGGGTAGCACTGGCAGTTCTAGCTGAGCCTACTACTACTACCACACTGTTAAAATGGCAGAAAAAAAACATCATAGGTGTCCGTCTTTTGGCATTTTTTAAAACAAAAATTGGCATGAGGGATGAAGCGTTGTGTTCGTAGTCAATAGAAAACTTCAGGTAAAATTCCTCCTTCCCCCACCCCCACCTGCTCCCCACTGATCTATCACCTGTGGCGGTGCAGGATTCCTGACAAGGGAGCTGATATCCTCGACGAGAAAAAAGTGGCCGTGGTCGGGCGTCGTTAAAAACCTTTGGAAAGCGGTCCTGGGGGGGGTGAAGCCCCCGAAAATATGACAATTTAGGGATTTGAAAGGTTTATTTATTAAATTTTAGAGTTTGTTAATAAGTAAGCAATACATATAATTTTCCTTTCAAATTGTGGTTTTTTTTTTACCCCAAAGTGCCGCAATTGTCTATCATATCAGAAAGCCACAGTAGGGAGATAGCAAGTAGACTTATAGTATTTCTTGAAAGAATTTGAACAGATTAAGGGATGAGGTGCCATTGTCAACCGATGAAACTTAATAACATTATAAACGCTTTCTGTCTTTGCAGGTATTTGTCACAAGTTAACTTGGTATAAACGCAAAACCTCAGCAACCTACTGGATTTCTCGTTTTCTTTTCGTAATTGGAATGTTGTTTTCAAAGTATGTAATTTATACATGACAGTTATTAATTGAAAATAATATTACTTGCTATTTTAGTGTCCTTTTTAAATTTAGATTTTACAAAACATATCATAATTCTGATGCCTAGACTTATGGTAGTTTAATTGGCTTAACTGGTGGTAACTCTGTCGGCTAAACCGGTGGTAGCAACTGTCTTTCGGATGAGACACCATTAAATATTTTAAGTCTCAGTTAAGCATGCATAAATATTTAAATCAATCCATTATTGTATATTATAATAATGGTCGTGAAATAATGATTTTATATGTCCCGACCCACCAACCACCCCCCACCCTGCTATGTTGTTATAACACTGTTATTATTCAATCATGAGAAGGGGGTTGTGCTGTTACTCTCAGACTTTGTAATATTTTTGCATACATAAAATCCATAAAACTATTCTTTTTTGTTTTTAGTGATTTATTCTGTTGTTTTACATTGTTTAGCACTAAAAAACAACATATTTCGGTTGTTCTACAGTGCTTTGCATTAGTAAACAACAGATAATTTTTTTTTTTTTATTTTTGTAGTCGTAACTGGTGTAAGGTTTACCATTTAGAATTAATTACTTTATGTCAGATGTGTCTGTGGTGCAATGGTTAGTGATGTTGGATTCAGACCTAAATGTTGGTGGTTCAAATCTAGGGATTTTTGTTTTTTTTGCCAATTTTACAAAAAAAACAAAAAAAAAACAAAAAAAATGGGGAAAAAAACCAAAAATTGTATCTCAGTGGCGTCAATCCCTCGCGCCTGCCCTGTCTGTGGCATCGATCCTTCGCACCTACCCTGTCTGTGGCATCTGCCGGCGACGCCTGCCCTGTCCGTGGCGACGCCTGCCCTGTCCGTGGCGACGCCTGCCCTGTCCGTGGCGACGCTTGCCCTGTCCGTGGTGTCTGCCGGAGACTCCTGCCCTGTCCGTGGCGTCTGCTGGAGACGCCTGCCCTGTCCGTAGCCCTGTCCGTACCAAGTGCCTGTCCGTGGTGAGACTTGAACCTATGTACCAAGTTTAGGAAGCAGAGCGTCTACCTCCAAGCCAACTGTCTCACTAAAAGACTGTGTTAATTTCTAAGTGGTAAACCACACTTAATGTTTAATTAAAAAACATTAAAAACAGTTTTTGTTTGGCTTGAACCTAGTAACCTCAAGGTTATAGTCCGTAAGACTAACCACTGAGCTAACCAAGTGGATCTGAGAGAGTGTGTTAATTTCTAAGTGTTAAACGACATTTAATTAATGTTTACTTTAAAAAAAAATAAATAAAAAGATATTTGTGTGACTTGAACCTAGTAACCTCAAGGTTATAATCCATAACACTAACCACTGAGCTAACCAAGTGAATCTGAGAGATTGTGTTAATTTGTGGATGGTAAGCGACAGGTTTTCAAAGCTAATGAATATTCATGTTAACAATGCAAATTGATTGCAGGGTTTAATACCGCCCTCTGTGTTACTTTTTTTTTTTTTCTAAATAAATGGTGTAATTTGGATCAAATGTATGTAGCGCCCTCAAATGTATTTCTACTTTGAATTTATATAACCAGTTTGTGGTTGAGTAATTTCCGCAGTAAACTGGTGTCGTAATTAACTAATGAATATTCATATTTATTATATATTGCCCTCAATTTTGTCAAATGTATGTAGCGCCCTCAAATGTATCCTTACTTTTAATTTATGTAGACCAGTTTATGGTTCAGTAATTTCTGCAGTAAACTGGTGTCGTAATTAACTAATAATAATAATAATATGTCATTGTTATGCATTTACAATGCCTCTAAGCGCTTCACATAATGAATATTCATATTTACTATATAGCGCCCTCACTTTTATTCCTACTTTAAGGTGTGATTTTTTTTTTATTGCTAGTAAACATGTTATTGCGATTGCTTTATTGCTGAATAATTACCACTGTAATCTGGTGTTAAAATTAACTACTGCATATTCATATTTACTAGGTGGCGCCCTCAATTTCATTTCTACTTTTTTTGAAATATAATGAGTTCTAACCACTGAATATTCATATATACTAAGCAAATTTACGACCATGTATTTGTGTAGCGCCCTCAATTTCATCACTACTTTGAATCAAAGCTTTAAATTTAATTCCGGTTGTGAATGTTATTGTGGTGGTTGTTTTATTGCTGAATAATTTCCACTGTAAACTGGTGTCATAATTAATTATTATGTAGCGCCCTCAATTTTATCCCTACTTTGTTCAAATTTATAATAGACTTAACACTGAATATTCATATTTTCCTAAGCAAATTTTCAACCGGGTTGTGTAGCGCCCTCAATTTTTTACTACTTTGTTTGAATTTTATAATACAGTATATGCAAAACCAGTTCTGTATATTTTTGTGATTGTCGTATTTATTGCTGATTTATTTCACTGTAAACTGGTGTCGTAATTTACTACTGAATATTCATATTTTCCAATAATAATAATTGTAAGGACCTTTATGCTTTTCTACACCCTGGTGTCTTATGGCTGATTATTTTCCTCTGTAAATTGGTCTCGTAATTTGCTACTGAATATTTATATTTACTATGTAGCGCCCTCAATTTTATCCCTAATTTTTTTGAATTTATAATGTGATTGAGACCAGTTGTGCATGTTTTTTGATTGTCTTATTGTTGATTAATTTCCACTGTAAATTAGTTTTGTAATGAACTACTGAATATTCATATTTTCTACACCATGGAAAGTGCTGGATTTCTCTAGTTGCTGAGTGATGTACATTGATGTCAAATATTGCTGCTGTATCTAAACCAAAAACTGAGGTTTTGTTTCTGGGAAAATATCCCATATATTCTATGTAAAAATTACAAAGGTCTATGTAAAAATTACAAAGGTCTAAAATTATCTTCTGTTGTCAATGTATGTAGTGTTCAGTTGATACATAACTAGGCCAATATTGATCTTTGTTTACTATTTTGTTGATTTTTTGTTACATGTTGTGTAAGGGGTATAGTTTATCTTCTTGTCTGTTCTTCTTTGTCATTTAAATTGTATTTATGAGAGAATTGCAAAATAAATGTTAATTAAAACCACACAGTCAGTTTTCATTATTTGTAGTTCATTTGATTTTTGTTATTTTATTATTCAATCATCAACCAACAGAGAAAAAAACATCCACTAACTGGAGATTATACATACAAAGACCAATTTAAGCTTAAACAAGAATAAAACATTAAATTTACATCCCTGAGTATTAATAAAATTCAACTATGTATTATTCAATATTTTTATTATATTTTTTAATAAAAAGTTTCTTGAATGTAGATGCTTTTCTTTGCCATTTCTTCATCTGGTCTTTGACCTCTAGGCTTTTCAAGATGAACACTATCATTATGCTTCGCAATCTGAAATTGAAAACAAATTAAAATTACATTTGATTATAAAAGCATGGAAAAATAGTATATTAAAGCATATTTAATTAAAAGAAAGAAGGCACTGATAAAAATGGATGGCAAGTAAAACAATAAGGAAACTAAATTACCAAATGGCCATAGTGAGTGTGATCAGAATAATCTCATATTTGGTACAATACACACAACATTTACAATAAGAGAAAGAAAAAAAAAATACACACTGGAAAATAAGAAGCAGCAGTAAAACAAAAAAAAAAGAAATTTGGAAAAAACATAAATGATTGTAACAATAAAAGGACGCAAGACCTAACGGAAAATACTGTTCTTCCCTTAAAGATATAAAGGGATTCCCCCAACAATACAAATACCTAGACAGGTCCGGACAATTTATAATTTGAAATGCTTATTTAATTAATTTTATAGTCTCATATTCTGTAAAACTTTACTGAAGGCTGTTTCCTCCCCGACGATGGTTTTTCTCCTTTACGAGAGGTAGAGTTTGTATATAGAAGTTGCGACATGAGCGTTTAAGGTCACGTGACTACTGGACGCCCTCAATCTGTCATCTTGGGGCCAATCAAAGATCTTATAAACACAAGATAGCGTTCTCCGCGAATTACGCGTAACAAATAGAAGCGTCGGGTTCCTGTTCTGCTGTTTACAGGATTGATACCCTAGGGTAAAGTCGCGCGGTGTACGGTGTGGTAAGAGCGGTCAAGGGTCAAAAGTTTCCAATTTAGCAAGAGGACGCCATTCATGCCTTATTACAGAATTTGCACGCGTAAATCGCGGAGAACGCTATCTTGTGTTTATAAGATCTTTGGGGCCAATTGATCAAGTCAGTGGTGCGTAACAAACAAAAATAAAATAAGGTTTGAGGCTAAATTATTGTACTTGTGTTATTTAAAAATCCATAACTTCGTAGCAAAGGATCGTATCAGATTATTTTTTTTCTGGAAATGTTCTTAAAAGACTATTCTACACCAGTCTCTTATACACATCTAGATGTGTATAAGAGACAGATATTGCTGCTGAGCTCTGGAGAATCAAAATAAAGTTGATTATCTTTAAGTTATGAATAAAAACATTTTCTATATTGGACAAAATATATGTATTTAAGTAAATAAATAACATAACATACAAAAGCATCGCAAATTATTAAAATAATAATAAAAAAAAAAAACAGTAAATAGGATATAAAATACTGGAGTAATCCACTCACAAAGATGAATCCTTGGAAACACAAAGTTGCCAATTTTCGCCATATGTAATGAATGCTAAATCCACAATCAATATATTATATTACCTGTAAACATTATCAATCTACTGTATAAAATATATTATATTAAACATTATTAATCTACTGTATACACATTGATCCAACCTGAAGATATGAACATTGGTGTATCTAAGCTATTTTTTGATTGCTACTGAAGTCAAACTCCTCCAGGTCTACGACAAATATATAAATTGAAGGCAAGTAAGAGATGTCACAGCAATGCTCACCTGACAGCATTAGGATCTTGAGATTGCGGTGGTATTAATGGACGGTCATCCTCTCCCATCCCCCAAGCCACACTGGACATTATGACGCCAGAGGTTAACGGAGTAACTTGTTTGGGGTTATCCCCTTCACCTAGCTCAAATGTGTAGCCTGTCATTGTAGGAAAATATGAACAAATGAAAAATATACAGAAGGTTATGCAAATGGAAAAACAGGAAAATATATTATATTACCTGTAAACATTATCAATCTACTGTATAAAATATATTATATTAAACATTATTAATCTACTGTATACACA